ATGATGAGTACGTATTCATCAATAAACGGGTAAGAATTCTTGAAGTAAGTAATTTAACAAGGTTATTTCATAATGTAAGTAATTTAACAAGATTATTTCATACGTATCTTATTTTTATATAACTTATTAAGATAACTATTTAATATTAAAATCTGTACAATTATGTGGGAGATCGTTAAAAAATATTTGAAAGGGAGGTTGATAGTCGGGAGAAGCGAGGTGCTTCATCATCCAACATCGACATGAGCTAGATTTTTAAAAAGGCTTTTGGAGGAGGAGATAATGAGAAGAAGAAGATTTACGAACTAAGATCACAAGCCTCTCACTATTGCTCTAGTGTCGGTATGTATTCTAGTTCAGCCATATCGTAGTTCCATGTTGATCTTGAGGTGTAGCAAAAGGAAATGGAGGCTCATTCTCCTTGACAAGTAGAAAAGATCGAAAAATTAGAAGGTACTATAACATCGAACGAGATATTAAGATAAGCATAAAGAAAACATGGTAGAGTCGGCACGAAAGCAATATTCCGCCTTCCTTTATCAAGTAAAGAAATACCCCAAACCAACATATATCTCACAAGAGTTATTGGATGCATGGCATAAGGAATTGGAAAAACCTAAGTTTCGTGCTCGATTAGAACATGTAACTTAGAACCATAAGAGCGAGACGGGTGGCATTGAAACCGATCCATCTAGACGTATGAGAGATTCAATCACTTACGGGGAGCACGCGATATGCATGATAAATCTTATATATATATATTTGTTACAACATTAATAAATATTTAAGTATATTTGTTTCGGTGTAATGAGTTAGGTTGAAAACCCAATACCCACGAGGTCTTCCCGAGGACTCATAGGAAGGAAGTTGATGATAAGTATGTATTCAACGATGAATGAGCAAGAATTCTTAGAGTAAGTAATTTAATAAGATTATTTCATACGTATTTCATTTTTATATAACTTATTAAGGTAACTATTTAATATTAAATTTTGTACAATTATGTAGGAGATCGTTGAAAAAATGTTTGAGAATGAGGTTGCTAGTCGAGAGATGCAAGGTACTTTATCGCTCGACACCGACATGAACGAGATTTTTAAGAGGGTTGTTGAAGGAGGAGATAGTAAGAGGAAGAAGATATATAGACTCGTGTCACAAGCCTTTCACTATTACTCTAATGTCAATACATCCTCTAGTTCGATCACATCACGACTCCATGTTGATCTTCGAGCCCAACAAAAGGAAATGGAGGCTCATTTTCTAGATAAGTAGAAAAGATCAAGAAATTAAAGAGTACTCGTTATATCGCTCTTGGCTATTACGAATAAGTTACGAAGCATACTCGAGAGTAGCATGCGATGATGCAAATGAAGGCTCGTTCTTCTAGATAAGTAGAAAAGATTGAGAAATTAAAGGGTACTATTATATCGCTCTTAGCTATTATAAATAAGTTACGAAGTATACTCGAAGCGATATACGGTGATACAACAAAAGGAAATGGAGGCTCATTCTTCAGATAAGCGGAAAAGATCGAGAAATTAAAGGGTATTGTTACAATGCTCTTGGCTATTACAAATAACTTGCGAAGTATACTCGGGAGCGACATTCAATGATACGATAGATGCAGCGAGATGTTGCTAAATATGCAAAGAGGCAATTCATCCGTCGATTCTCCGACCGACGATCCTTCGGATCCTTCAATCGACGATCCCATCGATCGCTCCTAGCATTTATGTTTTCCTTTTTCAAAGATATTGATAAACTTTAAAATAATTTGATGTTTGAATATATATTTCATTTTATTTAATTTTATATATTATACGAGTTTTATAATATTTATAAATCTGTTTCATAACGTTATTGTAGTTATTAAATTGGAATTGATTTTATTTTTTCTTCTTGCTAATTAAATAAATAATTGAAATTTTTTTTCAAAAAAATTTGGAATGGATTTAAACGAGTTACTAATATCAAATTTAACAACATTTTTCATTAAATAATCGCTAAAAATGTCGCTTATTAGAGATGGATTTAGCAACGAATTTTAAAAATAGTCTCTAAATTGTTCGTTTTTGGCCACGAATTTAGCAACGAGTTGAACAAAATTGTTGCCAAATTGACGACCAATTAGCAACGAAATTGAGTGTTTTAGTGACGGATTAATCATCGCTAAACTAGCGACGATATAAAAACCATCGCTAATGTTTTAGGAATAAGGTTTTTTCGGTTAGTTTTATACCATCACTAAAATTGAGAATTAGCGATGGTTTAAGCCGTTGTTACATTCCCTTTTTTGGTAGTGAATGTTCTATGGAGTCATGTAAGCATGAAAAATAAACATCGGCGTTAATGGTGCTGAAGGAGTGCCCGGCATAACCATTATGATGGTTATATATATATATATATGAGGCTGTTTTGCTTTGTATTGACCTTTGTTGGCATTGTATATGTCATATAACTCTTTGTGTTGATTGTGTTATTTTTTATTGTCTTTTTATGTTATTAAAGAGAGAACCTATATTTATATTGAAAAATATAGGATATGAGACATATTTTATGTGGTCGATTGGATGGCTAAAATGCCATAAAAAAGATAATACATAATTATGAAAATTTCTAATTTTATGGGCTAACGTGGAGAGTCCAAATTTCATATTTTATCACATGTAATCTTTAGATTTTTTTTAATGTGATTTCTCTATTTTTTTTTAATCGGATCCTTTTGTTTTCTAGATTTCCTTAATGTGATTCTTATAATGCGATCGACGTAAAATGAACAACCTTAAGGAAATAAAATTAGTAGGTAGACTAACATTTCGATAAGAGTCATATGTGGCAAAATTTTGTTATTTTGCGTGTCGGTTTTATATGACATGCTAGTTTACTTCTTGTTCTTTCTTAAAAAATTAGACATAATTTTATCTAAAGGATCACATTAAAAAAATTTTAAAAATAAAAGGATTAATAAAAAATAAAAAAACGGAATAATCACGTTGTTCTATATAACTAAAAGAAGTGAACATTTCACTTGTTCACTTATCGTAGCATTAGAGTCGATTGCACTCGTGGACGACTTTTCCGTAATTTTTGGCATTTTGGTGGGTGAAAATTATGCAACTATTTACGTTTTGATCTTGTTGTTTTTGGATGAATATTTTGATTCACATCTTCATTTGCTTATCCATTTTGGTCTTTAGGTGAGAGAGAAGGGTATGAGGAAGAGACGGACGGGAGGAGAAAGAATCATCGGCCAACCTTATTTAGACCATTTTGGCCAACGAAAATTCATTAGATTTTTTTATCTTTGAGAGATGAGTTTGTCCATAGTGGTTTCAAGCCGTTAAACAATTAGAGGAGGTAGATCGAAACCAAAACGAAAAAAAAGTTCATATTTGATTATGTATTTTTATTTTTTTGTGTATATTAAAATGATTTTTAAGGTTTTAGGTGTGTTTATTGACTTTATTCCGGTCATTTAGAGATTTTTAGAGAAAAAAATGATATCGAAATTTAATTTATAGTGATTTGAAGCTTAACTTTAATTTTTCGGCAAATATTCAGGCGAAATCCAGCTCACTGGAAGTTACAGTTTTTTTTTTTTTTTTTGAAGTTGAGCAGCAGCCCAGGCCTGGCTCGCAGGCCCGAGCGGCCCTGGTGCGCAGGCCTGTTGAGAGAGAGCTGGGCTGTCCTGGTCATTTGGGATTAATATAAAACTCATGCCTATTTTTAACTGGACCTGTGTTGTTAAGCTGGGGTCCATGTTATATATATATATATATTGAATGATGATTATCATTCCCAAAAATTAAACAAGGCACTCAGGCCAATGCATACAAGTAACTTTGCGGCACCGAAATTTCCAGTCCCTCATAAGGGCAGAGAGGAAGGCAACGCCACGCTATTGTCCAAACCAATTTGTCAACTCGCCATCACAGCTTATGGATTTAAGATGCAAATTTAGGGTATTTATTTTTTTCAAAAATTGGAAAAAAAAGATTAATGTAAACTGAAAAAAACAAAAGAAAAAAATGGTGGGGGATACATGGATCTAATCCATATTGCTTAAATGTGAAACAAAGTAAACATTGCATCGTTTTGCCATGAAGCTTTTGCGTGAGTTATCATCTTTATGGAGTATTATTATTCTTCTAATTGTAATCACCAAACGCCAACGAAGCTTAGCAGTAGGACATGTATAAAATTCAAACATACCAATATCGTACAATAAAACACACACATATATATAGAATTAAGTGTAAAAAATATAAAAAAATAAATCATTATTTTTTTGTTTTGCGTACAGTTTAAAGGTAATAAAATATATATAATATTGTTTTAAATTTTAATTTGAACATATATAACTGATTATATTATTTTTATTGTTTAAAATTTACTTATTCAATTATTTATTTCTTATTAAAATTCTCATCAAATTAATTTTTTGATATCATTTAATTTGTTAATAAATTTAGTTTTTTAATATATGAATTATGGAATAAAAATTTGATTTATATTAATCTTCGGATATCTATTCGCATCATACTATACAAATCGTTGACTCTATATATATAATGGTTATCTAACCGTCACATAGTACGGGTATCTAACTAGTTGATAAAATATTTATACTATTGGGAGGGAAATTGAAATTTACACAATAAAAAAGTTAATTTTTTTTGTTAGTTTTGCCAATGAAGATGGTTGGAAGAATTTTATTAATAAATAGTTTAAACATCGAATTGATAGAAAACAAATATTTAAATAGAAATTGATAGACATGAGGTAAAATAAAATTAACTTTTTTCTTTTAAATTTAATAGTTAATATCACGGTAAATTTAAATGTTAATCTACGGTTGAAAATTATTAACCAGAAAAATTCACCATGCCTTTTTTATAAAAAAAGAACATTGAAAGTCAGACTCAGACACAGAGAGAACCGTAATTCCTTCGCTCTCTTTTGTTCCCAACGACCCAAAAACCTCCTAAACCGCAGCAGCCATGGCCGAAACCATTACAGCCGCCACCATTTCCCTCTCTCTAAAATCCTCAACTCGCCATTCCCAACTCTTACTTTCTTTCACTTCTTTCCCTGTTCTTCGATTCAACTCTCTCAATAACCCAAATTTCCGCTCATTAGTAGTTTCCTCTTCAATGAGCATCGAATCAACAGCAGCCCCCCAGAAAACCTCATCAAAAACTTCATTTCTTGATCATAGAGAAGGCAGCAGATTCCTTCACTTTGTCAAATACCATGGCCTCGGAAATGACTTCATTTTGGTAATCCCTTTTTCATTACTTAAGTTCCTTTCTTCACAACAGAACCAAAAAATTATATTCTTTTTTCATTTCTTAAGCTTCTTGATTTGTTTGAATTAGGTTGATAATAGAGACTCTAGCGAGGCCAAGGTAACACCAGAGCAAGCAGTGAAGTTATGTGATAGGAATTTTGGGATTGGGGCAGATGGGGTGATTTTTGCTTTGCCAGGGATTAATGGGACTGATTATACAATGAGGATATTTAATTCTGATGGGAGTGAGCCGGAGATGTGTGGTAATGGGGTGCGGTGTTTTGCGAGGTTTATTGCTGAGTTGGAGAATTTACACGGGAAGAAACAGAGTTTTACTGTACATACTGGTGCTGGTTTGATTGTTCCCGAAATTCAAGAAGATGGGCAAGTTAAGGTTGATATGGGCGAGCCGGTGCTTAAAGCAGCTGATGTGCCGACGAAATTGGCTGCAAATAAGCACGATGCTGTTGTTAAGTCGGAATTGGCTGTGGATGGAGTGACTTGGAATGTGACTTGTGTTAGCATGGGCAATCCTCATTGTGTAACTTTTGGCACCAAAGGAGGGGAGGTATGTATTTTTGGTTAAAGCATTGACATTGTGTATTAAGGCTTAATTAGGAAAATGAGATATAAGAAATGTTAGGTATTGGCATTTCTCTGTTGGGTAGTTATCAATGTTTTTTTCTTCTTCTCTGTTTGCGATGACAGGACTTGCAGGTTGATGCATTAAATTTGGCTCAAATTGGTCCTAACTTTGAACATCATGATGTGTTCCCAGCCCGAACAAATACTGGTTAGTCCTTATGCGGTGAAATTTTTTGGATTATATCATGTTCCAAAGCTTGGTTTTGTTGAAAATTTAGTTCTTGTTGCTTCAACATTGGTTTATGGAAGGCGTGCCTGATTTGAACTTTAGAGTTTTTTTATCTCATACATCCTTTGAATTGCATCGAATGATTAAATATCTTGGCACTTCTCATTGTGCTGGCATCCTCTTATGATTTATGATTGATCTCCTGTCTGATAATATCTATAATGCATTTTAAATTCTGCAATTTTTGGGATTTGTTTATTTTTCTAATAAATTCCTTAAATTTTGCATCTCGAAACTATTAACTATTATTTCTCCATTTCTTGAGCGAACCAGAAACAAACCGATGGGTTACTTAATGACGGAGAATGTGAAAGTGAATCAAAGGCCATGGGTTGCAGGAAAAAATAGAATACGTGCTTGCACACTAAAAAGTGTTTCTGATTCCAGTAATAGTTGCTGCACTATTAGTCAAATTTTCTGTGCATGCACACTTATGTGTGGACTGCGTGTAGGTGGGCATGCATGTGTGTGAGTGTTGGTGCATAATTTGTGGAGTTAAGAACCTTTTCCTTCCTCTTCTTTCAATTCATAGTATGGTGTATATGTTCTTTTGAAGCATATAAACTGCACATAATTTTGACCATTTGAAATATTTTTGCGGATACAAAAAGTATCAAGCTTTTTACACGAATTTTTATGGGAGAGATTACACTTGGATTGTATACCTGAACGCAAAAATAAACCAGAAATTGTATTTTGTCCAAAAGTTGTTCTTGAGGATTTTGATAATTTCAATTTCACTTTAGTGTGCATATACTACACTCAGCCATTGTGTGCATAAATGAGCATGTCTGTGCCTGCATTGATGAGGCATTCCTGATATTTATACCTGCATCCTCAAGCAATGGTACTTAATAGATCTGGTGATCAGTACTGCTCTGGTGTCTTTTGAACATTCTATGTGAAATCTCATTGCTGTCAGTATTTCTGTCATGTTTTGATTTGATTTTTGATATGATCTGCAGAGTTTGTGCAAGTTTATTCCCCTTCACATCTCAAAATGCGTGTATGGGAGCGTGGGGCAGGTTAGTTTGCCATGGACACTTATGGATATCTCCATGTATCTTGCTTGTATAGTTCATAAATCGTGTGTTGCGACCATTTCTTTTTGTATTTCGTAATCCCTTATGATTATTTGACTGGATTACTCACTCTATTGCTCTTTGACTATAGGAGCAACACTAGCCTGTGGAACTGGGGCTTGTGCAACAGTGGTTGCAGCAGTTCTTGAAGGTCGTGCTGGGAGGGTAAGCTTTATATTAGAAGTTTAAACTTGCCCTTTTGGTATATCTAGCAAGTCTTCTAACATCTCCCATTTCTGAAGGAGTATCATTGCAAGTTCGAAATGTTCCTTGACTTGTTGCTGGATGCTTCCTGTTTTCAGTTATTTATTTATTTTTGTGCAAACGTCTGATCGGTTAATTATATCTTCTCCTCACGCCTTGCCATTGTTCTTGTTAAACAGAAGTGCACGGTTGATCTACCTGGAGGCCCACTGGAGATTGAATGGAGGGAGGAAGACAACCATGTGTACATGACTGGCCCAGCTGAAGTGGTTTTTTATGGATCAGTACCTCTATGATGTCTCCTTGAATGAAGATGCATTGATTTAGTTTCGCCTGAACTTTTGTATAAACACAAGTAATCAGGCCAAAAAACTGTTAGAATAACGTTTCTTTTCCCCCCAGATTCACTGACTATTACAAAACCCTGCTTGTGTTTTTGGTAACTTAATCGCCTGTCGAGTCTGGTGCAAGAACCATTCCTTGTTCAAGTGTCAAGTGTTTCAGCTTGAGCATGTCATCGTGAAGAAGAAGCCAATTGTACCAGCAGCCCTCAGCCTGAAGATGTGATGATCTTCATTCTGAATGTCTGCAAATTATTTCAGTTGCTGTTGTGCTTCCGAGAACTGCATTTGGTTCGGTTTATGTGAGACCACTTTGTTGTAGACTTGCTTCCTGGAACAAGCTCACAGTTTGACATTAATGTTTAACGTTGTGTTTGTGTTGCAAATTTCTGCCCGTGTTTTGCTTCTCTGTTGATTCAATGCATTTTCTTACTTTTCACGAGTTTTCTCTGCCTCTCTCCATGTAATTAGAAACATGGCGTTAGGTTTGGGATCCATTTCCTTTGTGTTCATTCCCAAACATGGTGGATTATGTTTTTCTCTTCCTTTTTTCTGGCTTTAACACAGCCTTATTCTTTTAACTGCAACCAAATAACCAATCATAGAACCTCTTAAAATTGGTTCCTCTAATTTTAATTGTCTAGACTCTAGAACCCTCCCGGTCTCCACGTGTACTTCCATATGTCTCCACGATCTACTCTCCTCGCACCTTCTATTGACACCAGGAAACTTCTTCCACCACGTGTCCTCCACCGATACAACCTTAAAAGCCTACTCTTTTCTTCACAAACTCACTTCAATCCAGGATAGGGAACTTGACTAAACCTTATCAAAGCTAAGCTTGTAGGCGTAAGTAGTAGCTAGTGATGGCTGATGAATTCAGGCTGGTATCACCTGACATAGACAATGAAGGTAGGTTACCTAGGAAGTACACAGGAGAAGGTCAAGGCGCCAAAAAGAACTTATCTCCACCAGTTGAGTGGTACAACGTGCCAGAAGGAACCAAGAGCCTAGCTCTAATAGTGCAGGACTTGGATATATCAGACCCTGATGGTCCTAACGTGCCATGGCCTCATTGGGTTGTGGTTAACATACCACCTCATGTAAAGCGTCTTCCTGAGGGGTTCTCTGGAAACGAAGAAGAGATGGGTGGTGAATATGCTGGGATCAAAGAAGGGGTTAATGGCTGGAAGACTCCTGGATGGCGTGGACCTGTCCTGCCGAAACATGGGCATAGGTTTGAGTTCAAGCTCTATGCTTTGGACGATGAATTGCACCTAGGAAACAAGGTAAGAACGCATATAAATAGCCTGGTATTTCCATTGTTTTTTTAATTTGATTTTTTGGCAGCAAATTTATGGTGAATGAGACGCAGGTGACAAAGGAGAAGCTGGAGGAGGCAGTTCAAGGGCATGTACTAGGAGAAGCTATCTTGATGTGCAAATTTTGATCCTTCGTGTATTTTTTCCTCTTTCTTTTGTATCTTAACTTGGGAGCATGTTGCTGATCATAATGTTTTAATCTGAGGAACCGAATGAAGTGCAGTTATTTTGTGTTGGATATGGTCGGGTAAACGTTTGATGCAAATTATAAATTGTCCTTTTGCCTCTAATTCCAACAAATTCGAAACTCATTTTCAGATAAAAATAATTCCAATACGATATGGGGCATGGATCATATATATATATATAGAGCCTCAACTCAGACACTTGATGCAACAAATGCTGGACGCTCAAATTTCTAGAATCAGCGCACATCACAGAGATGATAAATTCCTAACTCGATTACCAAAAAGAATGAACATTTCAAAAGAGTTGATGTAACACTAGCCAACTACTCACAATAATGAAATGATAGGTGTTGCTATTATAGTTTTAAATTGCGGATATTTTTGTAAAAAAAAAATAGTATTGAAATTATGGGAATTATTTTATCTGAAATGGCAGTAGAATAAAAATTGCTGGGTTTTTTTTTTTTTTTTTTTTTTTTTTTTGTGATGCTTATTGTGATAGATAGTGATAATTGATATATTTAAAATAAATTTATTATGATTTAAATATTTTTAAATAATTTTATTAATTAAACATAACAATAAAATTTATAATTTTTATAACTATGCAAATAATAGTATATAAAAAATATATCTTTTAAAAATATAATCAAACGCAATAATAAAATCTATAAACAGTTCAGTGACCATAAAAATAACAGCATATAAAATAAATCAATACATTATAATTTTAAAATATAAGATTTTAATAATTAAAGGAGTGTACGTTCAAATTTTTGAGAAAAAACGAATAAATAAATAAATATAAATTCGTTATTTGACAACTAACGACTAGCTATAATGCTGTTATTTATTATTATTTGTGTAAAATATTAATAGAATTTTTATAATAGCAAATAATATGATGAAGAATAAGTCTAATTTTGCTAAATATTTGAAACTATGGTTGTTATTTTTTCAAATATGATTGCTATCTACGATGAGATAAAAAGATAGCCTTCTACTGTGGCAAATCTGCTGAGGGAAAGTCGCAAACAACATTAAAAATTGATTGTTGAAAGGGAATGGATCTGATTTTTTGGCAAGAGGGGCCATTAGGAACTCTAAAAGATATAATGGGTATCATCCATCAATATTTGTTTCTTCTCCATCCAAGAACCTGCAATCCAATACTGTTGAAGAGCATCATCGATTGGCTCAACATCTTATGTTGATTTAAGAAAGAAAAGTTCCTGGGTTGTCTCCACTTTATAAATGGGGAGTCAGCCTTGGGTGCTCTCAGTTGCAAGGATTGCCTTCTGCCCCAAAGAAACAGCTGTAGCATGTAGGGATTATTCATGTTTACAGAATATTTAATTTATATCCAAATGCACTTGCCTTGGACTTTTTTGTTCTTCAACAATTTTGGAACGCTACCTGCCAAATCTATATCAAACAATATATTAATTTCCCTCTTCTTTGTTTTGTTTAGTGTGATTCCAGTTTGATGCTTTGTCTTGAAGTTCTTACCATGTAGCTAGATTCATGCTTAGGAAAGATTGATTCACGAGATCCTAATTATTTTTATTGTTTTTGTCATTGGGGTTAAAAAATATGCGCATCAGAGGTAAGACACATGAAATCAGCATAGTGGGCAATAGAGAATAGAGGGAAAAAGAGAAAAAAAAGTGGGATTTGATGCACAAGGTAGACGATTATACATTAATTTATTCGTCCCTAATAAAGAGAAAAATCTTCACTGTTTGATATGATCTTATACCTCCATGGTCGGAGTTCCAAGCACAAGCATTTGACTGCTAAGCAATGGAAAAACAGATAGCAGTTGTTGGAGCAGGTATTAGTGGCCTTCTTGACTGTAAATATACTCGCTCAAAGGGCTTCAATCCAATTGCCTTTGAAGCAAGAAACAACATTGGTGGAGTTTGGACTAACACTATAGAGACTACGAAGCTCCAGACTCCTAAGCCAGGATATCAGTTCTCAGATTTTCCATGGCCAGATTCAGTCACACAGCTCTTTCCTAACCAAGTTCAAGTCTTAGATTATCTGCAGTCATATGCACGCCATTTTGACTTGGTTAAGCACATCAAGTTCAACACTAAGGTTCTTGGCATCAGGTATGAAGGCCCGTCCGATGAAGAGATTTGGTCATGGAGTCTATGGGGTGGGAATTGCGAGCCCCTAAGCACAAAAGGGAAATGGATAGTCGAAGCACAGGACACGAAGAGCCTTTCTACTGAGGTATGCCTTCGATCTGCTATGTGATCTGGAACCATGATAGCTTCTTTTCTTTTTTTTTTTTCCTCTCAGAGAAGAGAGAAAAGTTTACGAATACATCTTTACAATATCCAATTATATGATTTAACCAGATTGTTTCAACAAAAACTAATTTCTAGTTCGCAAAAACTACGTTAAATGTTCTCAGATTCCCTTGGCGTCTCATACAAATACATGGTTTTGGCAAGTTTTCAAGTGATAGTAATTCCGTCATGGTGATTAGTTCCTAACTTTCAGTTATCCTATTTGAGGTTATTGGAAAAACAGGTGTACCAAGTGGACTTTGTGATCCTTTGCTTTGGTCGATTCGGTGACATTCCTAACATTCCTGAATTTCCTCCTGACAAGGGACCAGAAGTGTTTAATGGTAAGGTGATCCATTCTGTGGACTATGCCAGCATGGATAATGAAAGTGCTCGTAATCTCATAAAAGGCAAGCGAGTTAGTGTTGTGGGGTTCCAGAAATCCGCAATGGACATTGCAATGGAATGCTCAGCAGCAAATGGTAGAATTACTGCATATGAAAATCTTATCAAAGTTTTAATTAAGACGTGCTACGTTGTTTATTTTCATTGATCTGTAGGGATCGAACATCCATGCAGAGTTTTGTACAGGACTGAACATTGGAATCTACCTGATAACACTCCATGGGGGTTGCCTTTATCGTATTTGTATCTTAATCGATTTGCAGAGTTAATGGTTCATAAACCTGGTGAAGGGTTCCTACTCGGTCTGTTGGCAACAATTCTCGCGCCTTTGGTAACTTTCCCTTTTATTCCTTTTGAATCAACTGAAATGCTCTCTTATAATTCACACCAAGAAGTTCATCCGAATGGACTAATTAAACAGTATTCAAATCCCGGAGATGGGCAGTGTCGAAATTCGTAGAAAGTCACATCAAGAAGAAGCTTCCTTTGGCAAAATTTGGAATGGTGCCAAAACATAGTTTTCTTCAGGAATTTAGTTCTTGTTCATTCCCTACTGTTCCAAAAGGATTCTATGATAAAGTTGAAGAGGGAAGCATCATATTGAAGAAAGCTCCCAAATTTAGCTTCTACAAAGAAGGAATCGAGGTTGACGATGAGGGTACCTCACTAGAGACTGATTTGGTCATATTGGCCACGGGATTCGATGGTGAAAAGAAGCTCAAAGACATTTTTCTGTCCAAAATCTTTCAAGATTCGGTTCTTGGGTCATCTAATGCAGCAGTTCCTCTCTATAGGTTAGCAATTTCTTTTCCTTTCTGGATCAAAATCTTAGAATTTATCAAGCAAAACAAAATGACCAATATATTAGTTACTCTTTCCTTCAGGGAATGCATTCATCCTCGAATTCCACAACTGGCAGTAATTGGATTCTCAGAAGCTGCTTCAAACCTGTACGCCTCAGAGCTAAGATGTCGATGGCTCGCAGAGCTTCTTGTTGGCACATTCAAGACACCTAGCATAAAAGAGATGGAAAAGGATGCAACAAAATGGGACCGATATATGAAGCAATATGCTGGCCCATATTACAGGAAAGCATGCATTGCTGGGATTCACATATGGCACAATGATCAACTCTGCAAAGACATGGGATGGAACCCTAAGAGAAAGAAAGGTTTCTTTGCTGAATTGTTTGAGCCTTATGGACCAATAGATTATGTTTCCTCTTAGCGAAGCTATCTCTTTTGATCTAAATTTCAGTCTCAGGATTTTCTGGCTTTCCAACTGGAGGGCGGCATGACAATCGAAATTTATGTGTTGCTTCAGTTTGTGTTTTCTCTAAATGTCCAAGAATCAAATTGTACTTGTTCAAGATAGTCCAAATTTGAGTGGAAGAATCGCCTATTTCTTTCTTTTTTCTTTTTTATTTTGTAGTTATGTTGCTTAAGATATTTGTGTGTTTTTCCAAAAAAGTTTTTTTTTTAACAATTTAATTTATTTATCAAACAAAATATTTAATTTAAGTTACGTTGTTCTTGTAATAATTTAAATTCAAATAACACAATAATAGATTATCAAACAATCAAATGATTTTATTCACAACACAACATAATAGTTTATTACCAAACAACTTGACGTGTTTAATCTCATAATACAACATAACACAATATAACGGATGTATCATAACATAGTACAATACAACAAACAGAACGAGGTCATACATGTTTGTAGGTATTATTTGGTTATTAAGAATGAAATGTTCAAAATTAAAATGTAAGAATTAAAATAACAAATTATAGAATCAAAATGACATTTTCATTCTCATGTTATGTTTGAAATAGTAAGAATAATTAAAATGAAATTTAAATTTTTTAATATATAATTTTTAAAATAAATAAAAATAACGATTAAAAACTAATTTTATCAATAATTATAGTAGTAAAAATGATATAAGTGATTGCGATAATAATAGGTGATAGCAAGGGCATTGGTTGTAGAGGAAGAGGATGTAGTTATGGTAATATAATTTAAAAAATGACACCACTATTATAAGAAGTGATAGTCGAAAAAAAAAGAAAAAGAGTAATAGTGATGGTAGATGAGAAATAACGACATAATAATAACAATAACAATATATTATGTTTTAAAAAGTTTATTTTATCACTATCGTCATCGATAGTAGTAATGAAAGTAATGATATACAATAAATAAAAATAATATATTATTATTTTATGGAGAAAAAAATCTCATTTACATTTGATTGTTATTATTCTCATCTCTTCTAATGAGAATGAAATTATGATTAATTCTCATTCTCATTTCTATTTTATTTATTTTAATCAAATACATAGAAAGTGAAAATTAAAATTTTATTTTTATTTCATTATTTCTATTATTTTATTTTTTATTACCAAACAAAATTCTAGCTAATGAAGAATCATTTGCTTTAACCTTATCATTTTTTAGCATTTTTCTTTTTCTTCATTTTTTGTTGCATTCCTTTTTTCTTCTAATAGATACGCAATCCTTAATATAAGATTCCATTCTTTCTTTTTTTTTTTTTGGTAAATGTCAAATTAGTTATATTTTTGTGAATGGATTTTACCTATGATTGGTCAAGTATTCTTCTAATTATTTTAATTGAGTCTTTTTATTTTTAAATTTTATTTATTTAAAAATCAAATAAAAAATAATTAAAAAAATAAAAATAAAAATTTTAGTTTTGTTTGTTTATTGTGAACAGTTACATGTCAATTATTTAGTGGATCAATTTCGTTGACTAATATGGATCACATCATAGATATTGCATGATATATAGGGACTTAATCGAATAAGAAAAAAGTGATGGAACTCGATCAAAACAATTAAAAGAATACAAGGATATCATAAAAAAACCTTTTTTCCAACGCTAACCTCCATTTCGTCAGGGTTTGTTTGGATATTTCAATCAAAAACCATACCGCCATCCATCCCATTGCGAAGAAAAGAAACTGCCTCCTCTCCTCGTCGATCTCCTCCACATTTACTTCCGTCAGTGCTTCCTCTTCTCACTATCTCCTTCTCTCTGCAATTTCCGATTTCAATTTCCAGTTTCCGATTTGAGATTTACGGTACGCAAAGCAAATTAATTTCAACAGCTCTTTAGGGTTTTATAAATTTACGTGCTTTAGGGTTTTATACCATTGCTAATTACGAAAGGATTAGTATAGTTTTAAGATCCAATCAGGGTTTGAATATCAATTATGGCGAGAAAATACAGCAGCAGCAGTGAATCTAGTGATGACGAGAGAGATGGACATCGTCGTCGTGATAGTAAAAGAGATTCAAAATCAGACAGCCGTCATAATCGGGGCAGCCGAGGAGATGAGAGTGATGAATCATTAGATAAGAGACATGATAAGCGTGATGAACGTAGTAGGCCTCGCGATAGGAATAGAGATGGGGAAAGATTTAGTCGAGAGCGGAAGGAAGCCAGGGAGAGTTCTGAGGAAGAAGGAGAGTTGGTGGAGAGAGATAGAAAGCATGAGGGACGGCGAGAGACTAGGGAGAGGGAAAAGGAGAAGGAAAAGGTTAATAGGAGTTCTGATGAAGAGGACGATAGGAGGGAGAAGGAGAGGAGAGAAAGAGAGAAAACTGATCGGCGGGAGAATGGGCATAGAAGGAGAGAAAATGAGGATGGTTATAGAAGTAGGGACAGGCAGGAACGGCGTCGGGCTTTAGATTTCGAGGATGATGACATTGGGTTGCGAAGAAAATCAGAGCGAGATAGGGATAGGAGGCGTAGAGATAGAGATTATGATAGTGATAGTGATAGAAGGAATGAGAGAGGTAAGGAGAGGAATGAGAGGGGGAAAGAAGGTCGGAGTTTGAAGCAGAAAGAGGATGGTCATAGGAGGGCTGTTGAACAGTCAAAACCTCGGAGAGAAACGACAGTGCAAGAAGGAAATCAGGGTACTGATGCTTCAGTTTTGGGTAAGACTGGAGGGGTTTACATTCCTCCATATAGGTTGGCCCGGATGATGAAAGAGGTCGAAGATAAAAGTGGTGTTGAATATCAGAGATTGACTTGGGATGCACTTCGTAAGAGTATTAATGGGCTTGTGAACAAGGTTAACGCTTCTAATATAAAGAATATCATCCCGGAACTGTTTTCTGAGAATTTGATTCGAGGAAGGGGTCTTTTCTGCCGGTCGTGTATGAAGTCCCAGATGGCATCTCCAAGGTTTACCGATGTTTTTGCTGCACTGGTTGCTGTTGTCAACACCAAGTTCCCTGAGGTGGGTGATCTTCTGTTGAGAAGGATAGTTCTGCAGCTAAAGAGAGCCTTCAAACGGAATGACAAGGTATGTGTCTACACCTATGTACTTTATTTGGATGATTATCTGCTATTGAGAAGATTTGTTAATACTTTGAGTTGCTTCTGATTGTCTTCATCTGTTCATTGCATTTACAGCCTCAATTGTTAGCTGCTGTTAAATTTATAGCACATCTTGTAAACCAGCAAGTAGCTCACGAGATTATTGCTCTAGAACTCCTTGCCGTTTTGTTGGAAAATCCCACCGATGACAGTGTTGAGGTAGCTGTGGGTTTCGTCACAGAATGTGGATCAATGCTTCAGGATGTGTCGCCAAAAGGCTTGGATGGTAAAAATACTGCTTTGCTTATATATGCATTTGTGCAGCATTTTTTTAATATGCTTATTTGATTAGGAACTATATAGCTTTCTTCTTAGGATTCTTGAGTCTGCATCTTGTGATCATATCTGTAATGAGGTTACTGAGTCTTTTAGTTGGTATGTTAGTGGAACTCATGAATCCCTGTCTGCAATTGATAGTGGTTTGTTTGCATTCACCAATTCATCAGAGGATTTTACTAATAATTTCACTGTATTTGGAATGATGTTTCTTTATTGTTAGGTTCTGATATATAAAGTTATATAGAGGTGGTCATCATGCTGAATTATCATGTCTGAAGCTGCCATGGACTTCCTTTCCTAAGAGCATTCTTATTAGACACAAGCAAGAGATCAATATTGTTTGGAACTGATTATCTCCCTGATTACTGCATGAACATCTTTGGAAGGAACATTCCCCTTCTCCCTCAGATTTCTTAGTCAGACATAAGGTTTCTGGGACAACTATGACATCTGTAATCTTGGAACAATACTTTGTTTTCATTTTGTATGTACTAGGTTAAATAATGGCATGATTGTACTAACCTATGGCTGCATCTTGTACTCCCTGAAAGAGACATGGCTGTTCCACATTCACAGTGGCTGGTAGCTTTACCATTGTAATGTGAACTGTACTGGCAATAAATTATGTGAAAATTATTTTGTCGAATGTTTGTTGTTCTATTTAGAAAAATAGTGTTTGGGGCTTCAGTGGCTTAATTTTGCGTTGGGTATTTGATGCTTTAAAATTTGGGTTCTTAGTGGTTGATGGGTTTGCATCAATGGTTTGCTTCAAGCATGTTTGGAGTAAATCTTTTTGCTTGTATGACATTCCTCTCTCTCTTTTATAGTCTTTTACATATGGTTTCGTGACTTGTGATTTTACAGGAGCTTTTGAACGATTTCGTGGAATTCTTCATGAAGGAGAGATAGACAAGAGGGTTCAATTTTTAATCGAAGGCCTTTTTGCTATAAGAAAAGCCAAATTTCAGGTGCATTCTTGTGTCTCTGTTGATATCTTTGTATGATGTATTATCCACCACAGTATATGTTCTTTATTCAATAAGGCGAGTATGGCCTAAACTGCTTTTCCATGTATTGAATGCATTTGCAGGGGTACCCTGCTGTTCGTCCGGAATTGGACCTTGTAGACCAGGAAGACCAGTTAACTCATGAGATATCTCTTTCAGAAGACATAGATGCGGAGATCACCCTTGGTATATCCAGGACACTGACTTGTCTTTTGCAGTTCGATTGATTATCTATTCTTGTATATATGGTTGTAAATCTGTTTTGTTCGTCCTTTTTCAGATATTTTCAAACCAGATCCTAATTTCTTAGAGAACGAGAAGCGCTATGAAGAATTGAAGAAAAGCATTCTTGGTGAGGAGTCTGAGGATGAAGATGGCTCTGATGCTGCTTCTGGTGATGATGATGATGATGATGACAACACTGATGATGATGAAGAATCTGAGGAAGAAGATGAAGAGCAGATGCGAATAGATGATCAGACAGAAACAAACCTTATTAACCTTCGGAGGACAATCTATCTGACAATCATGTCCAGTGTAGATTTTGAGGAGGCTGGCCACAAACTATTGAAAATTAAACTAGAGCCAGGACAAGAGGTAAGCCATGAAAGTTCTGCCTGCTAATTTTCCACACCACTAGTGGCATATTTGTCTTACATTTCCTTGTGTTACTGGCTTTCCACTAGTCAAGAACTCTTTTGGTTTTAATAGCTGTCTGTGTTAGTGATTTGGTCCCTCGGTGCATTAATCTTGAGAGTTATATATTTGGTGGGATCCAATAGCCTAGGACTGCATTTTCAAGTTACTGTAGCTGGTGTTGCAATTTGTTACTACTGAAGTTGAGTTTCATGTTTCTCAATGAGTACATTAGTTGGGTACATTTTTTTATATTGGGTTTGGTTTCTTTAGCATGATTTGAGTATCACTATCTCAATGCATTGTATTATGCTCGACAGTTAGTTGATTTTCTATCAGAATGTATGCTTCTAATTTTCATTTTCCTGCATGCCTGCTGGATTTCCTGCTCAAGCTTTTGCTTCATATTTTGGATTATTCATCTCCGATTCCCTGAGTTTTTCAATGTTAATTATAATTTCTGTGTAAAATCAACAAAATAGTCCTTGACTATTCATAATTTGGCTGAAACTAGGCCCTCTTTACTGCATAATCCACTGCTCAGATCTGTCTCATGGATTTCTCTGTTGGTTATAGAAAGATAAAGACTAAAGTTTAACCACACTAAGATTTAGGGACTTATAAAATCTCTCTCTCTCTCTCTCTCTCTCTCTCTTCTTTTTGAGAAACACAAACTTTTCAGTTTTATTAAGTTGGATTTGTTTTATACTACATGGAGTTTTTAGACTTAAGTCATTTCTTCATTTGGCCTGTGTAGATGGAGCTGTGCATTATGCTCTTGGAATGCTGCAGTCAAGAGAGAACATATCTCCGGTACTATGGTCTTTTGGGGCAGCGGTTCTGTATGATCAACAAAGTGCACCAGGAAAATTTTGAGAAGTGCTTTGTTCAACAATACTCAATGATTCATCGTCTCGAAACAAATAAGCTGCGTAATGTGGCCAAGTTTTTTGCCCATTTACTTGGTACTGATGCGTTGCCTTGGCATGTTTTAGCCTACATACGCTTGACCGAGGAGGACACAACTTCTTCTTCCCGTATTTTTATCAAGATTCTCTTCCAGGTAATTAGAGAGACCTACTTTTATATCATCCTTGATTGTTTCTGTTCCCATATCCTTAGGTTTTGCATTATTATGCACCTGGGTTTTCAATTTACTAGATGGGTCAATGTGGTGTGTTTGTTTGCATGATGTTAGACCTTACTCCCATATGAAGTTAGATCAATAATCTTGTTTGTTGTGAACTGTCTTCAAACAACTGATCACCCTTGATGACATAACCAACCATTGAGGAAATGTCAGTTTGCAAAGCAAATATTTTACGTTGTAAATTAATTTTTTGTTCTAAAAGCATTTAATTGAGGAACAAAGGCTAAAGGAGATTTTCTTTATTAGAACATTGATCTGTATGAAACTTTCCTTTTGATTAGGTTATTGATTTCAGTTTTATAATGTCTGGTGCAGGAATTGTCAGAGCATCTTGGCATTCGAACACTGAACGAGCGCCTTACAGATCCCACCATGATAGACTCATTTGAGTCAATTTTTCCTAGAGATAACCCCAAGAACACGCGGTTTGCCATTAACTTCTTCACATCGATTGGGCTTGGTGGTATAACTGAAAATTTGCGCGACTATTTAAAGAATATGCCACGGATGATCATGCAACAACAAGAACAAGTTTCAGAATCTGGATCCGGATCAGATGATGAATCTGGAAGTTCTAGTTCATCTGATTCAGATTCCAGCAGTTCCGGAACAGAGTCAGATTCATCAAGTTCTGATGAGGATGAAAGGCATAGGAAACGGCTCAGGAGTAGTAGAAGGGATGAAAGACACAGGAAGCGAAGTAGGAGAGGTTAAGGAAGCCTTCAGTTGAAGAGTCAGCTGCTGCTGCTGCTGCTGATGACTTTTAATGGTCATGGATGCCCTCGTATGGAGTGGGATTGTAAATACGGCAATGATTTCAACAACCCTTTTTTGCATTAGAAGCTTCTTTTCATTTTGATGCTTTCTTTGATCATATTTATTAGTCCGAGCACTTAACTGTCCTGTTCTAATTCTGTATTACCATTTGGAAGTGCTTTTGGATTCAGTTAGAAGGGGGAAAAAAAGAGGAGAGAATTCTGAGGTACTATTTCTAAGTTGCTTTTCTAAAATCTTTGAATTAATCATAGACCCTTGGGGAGAATAAGATTTTGGTCAACAAAGCCTATTTTTAATGACAGGTCTCTTAGAATTTGATGATTGTTTGCAGCGTGCCGTCTTTTTGCAACGATCTCTTGAAATGCTCGCAAAAACTCGTGGAGCCTGGAATGTTGCCATCAATGTTCAAAATTAGAAAAATAAAAAAGGATCCCCATCGTAGAAGTTTAATGCCTAGATCCTCTGTTATTCATGTCATTTTTATTAACGGGAACTAAGAAAAAGCTTTCTGTCTTTGCCTAACACAAAATTCACATATCATCACTTGATTTAACTCGAGTTATTGTAAAAGATAAGCTTTGGTAAGTAGGCAACAGAGAAAGATTGGTAAGGCCATTTTTATTTTTATTTCTTTTTGTTTTAAGTACTCTTCATTTTAGTAGGACTCTGTGTTATATTAAAAAAAAGAAAAAAGAAAAAAAATCTAACACTCATTAATAACATTTAATATATAAGGATTTTCTACTTTATTTATGTCATAAGCAAATTACCTATACAAACATCATTTATCACTTGTCATAAGATTTTTGCATGTGCTTTTTATTTTTATTTTTATGTTTAAAATTCCCTTTTATTTTTATTCTTTTACTGATGGAATTTAAAGAAGTATTTGATTCATGCAATTTCGAAATCAATCCGAAAAAATTATAGTAGAAGTACAAATATAATCTTATAATTGTTTGCTGTTTACATTGGTTTTCCACCCAGTCCACAGCAGCTGTTCACTAATTTCCAATTATACAAGTCTACAACAAGACAAGTGCTCAAATGCTAAAAATAAAGTGGAAGAGGTACTCGTATAAAACAAATTAAAAGTACAGGTACTAAATATATAGTTTCTCAAATGCAAAAAAGATTTATTTATTACCAAAAAAATAAAAAATAAAAAATCTCTCTGGTCATTGCCACGTCCTGCCTGCATTCTCCATCCACTGAAACCGACCAGCCGTTTTCCCTTTCCCCAGAATTGAGAAAAAAAGAGCCCTCTGTTCTTTGTTTAATTAATTTATTTTAATTAATTCGATGAGTTCAAACAATGAAAAAATTAATGACGTAGCGAGAGCAGATGATCACAATCATGGTGAAGGAGAAAGATCCTTGATCAAAATCAACGTCTCTCACGGTTCCTCCCACTACGAACTCCTTGTCCCTGCTCATTCCTCTTTCGGTAATTACTCCTATTATTATTATTTTTTTAATTTTCAATTAAAATTGCTTTTTTTTTTTTGGTTTAGAAGATTTAGCATCATTATTATTTGCATGTTTAAATTAATTACTTAGGGTATGTTAAAAAAGTAATTGAGGAAAAAACCGGTTTGGAATCCGAAAAGCAAAAGATTTTGTTCAGAGGAAACGAAAAGGAGGACGGAGAGAATTTGCAGGAGGCAGGTGTGAAGAATAAATCGAAGATTTTGGTTTTGGAGGAGGTGAGGAAAGAGAAGAAGCTTGAGGAGATGAAGGGAAGCGAGGAGACATCAAAGGGGCCTGTGAACGAAAATGGGGAGGAGATGTCAAGGATGGAGGTGAAGGGAAATGAGCAGGAGATGGCGAAGGCGTTTCAAGCTATTGCTGAAACAAGGGCGGAGATTGATAAGCTTGCCGAGAGGGTGAGTTTATTATTATAGTGATATTGTTATCTGTGGAAGACTTTATTCTATGATGTGCTCATTTTCGAGTGTTTATTTTGTTATAGGTGGCTGCATTGGAAGTGGCTGTGAATGGTGGGACCAAGGTTTCGGAGGATGAATTGGTTGTTTGTGCGGAGATGCTCATGAGGCAGTTGCTGAAATTGGATACTGTTGAGGCTGAAGGAGAAGCAAGGATACAGCGAAAAGCTGAGGTTTGTATTTGGTGTTGTTGAACTTGCTTTTCTCTGTATCTGTTTGTCGCATTATCCACTAGATGAAACGCACTCTTATGAATTTTGAAAAGATACATGATTTGTTATTATGAGTGTAGGATGTGCATGCTATATTGAAGATTCATGATTTTCAATTTGATAAACACGGTTCTCAATGTTGTTAAAAACACTTGTTTATGTGGGATCACCAGAAGGTCTATGAACTCAGTTTGTAAACTCCAGTTGTAGAGTCCTATGATTTTGTGAATGGATAGACATACACGAAAGGTCATAAACAAAATTTAGATATATAATTAACTTCAAAATTCATATATGTAAGTCATGATTAAAAACTTAGGAGTTGGAATACATAGGTCAGATATAGATTCAGTTTTCTGCCTCAAAACCAATTAACTCATTGTAATTGTAATTTCATCTTGACTGTTGTTTGAGATCAATACAAATTGTACAATGAACATTTAAATTAGTAAAGAATTCAGTATCAAAGATGGGTACAAGGTTCTTGAAATTTGTGATTAGAATAATGATTGGTTAAAAGATCATACTTGCTAAATAAAGAAATAAAGTAGTGCCAATATAGTTTCTAATAACTCGATAACATTGAAGCATATAGCTTAATGCTTAGAGAAAAAGCACGAAGCATGAACCCAGATAATCTCTTTTCTCTGTTTAATATGTTTCATTGTGTTATTATTTGTTTTGGAGAAACAAGGAATGGAAGTAGCAGTTGCAGATAGAAGGAGGGAAGGGAAGAGAAATAAGAGGGGGTTGGGTGGGTTGTTGGGATGGTGTTATGTGGATGCAATGTAGAGTGTGGGATAGCCTATACCTTTCCATTTTCTGTACCAAAAATGTAGAAGATGTAGATAGATAAAGAGAGAGAGAGAAAACATATAAAAGTAAAAAAGGAATAACAGAGACTGGTCTAATAAAAAAAAAAAGGGCAAATCATTGGGGGGGGGGGGGGGGGGGCTCTAACCTGTGCTGATTCTTTTTGTCAATTGGATAAAATGGTACATTTGAATTCCATCTGGACTTGGTTTATATGAAGCGCCCTATTACTGTTAAATCATAATTGAACTTGTGATCCATATGTGCATTAACATGCTCACTGTAATTTGAGTTGTAAACCCATATGATTTTGCGTGTTGGATTGCAATTATAACAGCATTAGTGGTGTTCAAATGTTAAGTTGGTCATGCCACCAAAGCTGATGAAAAGTGGAGGAAAGAAATGCTGGCTATGGATGAGTGTCCTAAGGACAACAATGTTGAACTCTTACTCTGGTAAAGTAAATTAGGCCAGTTAAGTCTTTATGGTGGCCTCTTAAAGGACCTTGCGATGCGGAGATTTGTGGGATGGAAGCTTGCATAGAATGGTTCCTTGCCCTCAAAAAACCTCTTTTTACTCAATATCACCCTCTATAGTTTTTTCTTTGTGTGTGGGGTGGAGAGGTCTCTTGCTTTTTAAGGTGTATAATCATCTTCTACTTTGCAGCATGAAATTTATTCTATGTTCACTTCCAAAAGTACTCCAAACTTTCTCCACTTCTTCAGATTTACCTCATTCTCTGTCATCCAAGTTGCTTCCACTAATGTCTCAATTGCAGTATGGCTACTTGTAATAGACTGTATAAGCGCATGCTTAGGTTCTACTTCTTTGGACCGCGTTCCATTTTTTTTATAAAATATTTTTTGTGTCCTGCTCCTCCCACCTATAAAAAAGGCCATGAAACTCTTTGATGCAACCTTTATGGATTAGCATAACTTTTTGCTTTGTGATAAAATAAAAGGGTTTGCTAATACTGAGCATGGAAATTTTATTTCCCATTAACTAGATTTTTTAGATTTATAATTGAAGTTTATATTTGTCCTAAATGCTGCGGCATCAACTAATAGCAAACTTTTTGCTTTGTGATAAAATAAAAGGGTTTGCTAATACTGAGCATGGAAATTTTATTTCCCATTAACTAGATATTTTAGATTTATAATTGAAGTTTATATTTGTCCTAAATGCTGCGGCATCAACTAATAGTGCCTGCGCCCCCCCTCCACCAGGTGTGTCGTGTCCAGAGTTTCCATGAGATATTGGACAACCTAAAGGCAAAAATTCCAAGCCATTTGGCAGTAGCGACAATGCCGTGACAGTGACAACTGAGTGGGAGACCTTTCACTCTGGAATAGGAAGCTCAAGTCCCCCACCCTCAATGCCATCTTCAACAAAAATTACTCAGGATTGGGAAAGGTTTGATTAGTTTACAACAACCTCCTTGGTTATACCAGTCTTTAGAAATAGGTGTGGGATATATAATATTTAGCATGTAGTAAACATTTTATTCTAGATTTGCTACTTAATTATAAGCTTCTCTTTTTGGTCCCTCGGCTTATAAACTTTAGGAGTTAAAAGACATAACTTTTGCTTGAAGATCATCTGTTAACATTTTACAAACTCAGATTTCTTTTTCATGGTTTAACATTAACGCTCAGTTTGAACTATGGTACTTATTTATGAGACAATGGATATTTTGCATACTGCTTCCTTTTTCAAATTAAACTGAAGGACAGTGGAGCTCAAGACCATCGTGGTTGCCACCATTTTTAGTAGACTTTTCCCTCTGTCCTTCTCCAACTAAAGCATAGGCCTCTTCACCATGTACTGCATCATCTCCAATTTTCAGATCATCTTCAGTCATACGAAGGGGCATAAACAATTTGATACCATATAGAATGATAGACGTAACTAGTACATTCCAGCCTATTACAAAACATGCTCCTGCTAATTGCTTCAGAAATTGAAGTCCACCTTGACTGCCATAGAATGCCCCTTTTGAGTTGGGGACTGGCAAGAATAAGCTACATAGGTCTGGATGAGCTAAGAGTCCTGTTAGAGCGCCACCCAAGGTCCCAGCAACAGCATGAGTGTGGAATACACCGAGGGTATCATCAACTTTCTGCAGCAGTGGCAACTTCTTGCTCAGGCACATCATGCTGTACCAAGGAATAGTTCCTGATGTTATACCCATTACTAGTGCTGCCCATCCTTGAACGAGACCTTTGAAAGGAAATGGGCAAATGAAGAGTGAGCTAGGATAGATGAAAGTTTGATGAATTCAGATATTGTATTGGAAGGGTCTCACCTGCAGCAGGAGTTATGCACACCAACCCTGTTATCATTCCTTGAATGGCTCCAATCACAGAGGGCTTTCTGAAGAAGAGAACATCCCAGCAGGTCCAGACAAGGAGACTGGTGGCTGCACAGATATGAGTGTTGAGAACTGCAAGGGAGGAATCTACGTTGGCTGTAAAAGGATCTCCTCCATTGAAACCAGTCCAGCCCATCCAAAGAATACCAGCTCCAGCCAGTGTCATTAAGAGATTATTTGGTGGGAACTCTTCCCTGTCTTCCTGCAGTCTTGGTCCAACCTATGACAGAAATAAAGGAATTGCATTTACACCAATAAATGTCAGGTAGTACATGTGTTTAGATGGGCTGGAACCTGGAAGAAGGTGCTCACCCAGTAAGCTGCTGTGAATCCTGCTGCACCAGATGCTAGATGCACAACATAGCCACCTGAATAATCCATGATACCCCATTGGAAGAGAAAGCCGCCACCCCATATGCTGAAGGCTACAACACTGTAGGAGAAAGTGATCCATAATGGAACAAAGACCATCCAAGCTTTGATGCTCATTCGACAAAGAACTGACCCAGCAAGGAGTACTGCAGTCACAGCTGCGAAAGCAAATTGGAAGAAGACCATGGTAGATGTGGAGTAAAGTGGTTGAGCGGCTGCAGTTATGTTTTTGTATTGTGTTGAGGGCAGAACGGTTTGAGGGATCAAGAAGTCTTGGGAGACGGCAAGGCCAGGTTTTCCCCAAAAAGGGAGGAGACGATGACCAAATGACATCTTGTACGCCCAAAGGACCCAGCAAGGCATTACAGCTGCAAAGGCGTAGAGTGCCATAAATGCTGAGTTGAGAGCCCATTTCTTCTTGACCAGGCCTGCATAGAGGATCACTAGTCCAGGCATGCCCTGCATGCCAACGAGTGCTGCTGAGATCATCTGCCATGTGTTGTCACCTTTGTTCAGCCATTCGGGTGAAGCTGGGGTGTTTTGCAGGTATGCTTCCGGAACAACTGAACTGGTAGCCATTTATTGTTTCCAAAAGCTTGTGAATTTGGCTTGAATCCACCATTCACAGGGCTTCTAGCTGTTAAAGACACAATGGCCTTCTTATATAGAAGGTTGAAGCAGAATAGTTTATTCTCTTTAGAGCACAGTTTCAGGAATGCCTTGTTGATTTTTTGGTGTCACAATCATGGGAAACTCCAATTTTTATGGTGTTTTGTTACTTGCAAGATGACATGTGCAGGACCTGGAATCAGAGCCAGGGAAACTATTATCATATTTTTGTTTGTAGTGTACGCTGTTTGCTTTGGTCAAGTACAGCATCTTTTACGTTGTTGGGAGATTGTGGAAAATCCCAGATCAAGGCACAGATCCAAGTCAAGTAAACGAAGCTATAATGGAGAAATTAATGATGTGGGCGCTACTATGTTTTTCTAATACTGGGGTCTGCATGTGGAAAACTTTGCACATGAAACAGAGGTGATGTGATGGTCACTGGCGAGCAGGTTTCTCCATGTTCGCATCATTCCGAAGGGATCCAGCTTGCTTTCGAGTAACTGGAGCCAGGGTTAAAAGGTATGGAAAATATGTTTAGAAATTCTTTTTGGGGAACCTGGTAGTAGATACACAGGCACATTTTGATGGATCAGGTTCCTCCGTTTTGCTAAATGGTGTCATTCTCCACCCTTTGCCAGAGTTTGGAACTGAAAAACCAGTATCTTGATTTCAGTGCGATGATATTTTTATATCGAACTAATCCCTTTCGCTCTTCTTGGCTGCTTAATCTTGGAAGAGCGTTGAACTATGGGAATTTTGAGAAAGCCCTTGCCCATTAACTTGCTGATAACTTCGACAACCTGTTGACCTCGGATTTACCATAGCTATTGACCATGGATTCGCATCAACCAAATTGTTGTCATAATTAAATGTAACCGAATCTTTAATAATCCAAAAAATCAGTAAGATGCTCCATGCAGAGATCAACTTCGTAGAATCCAATTATTTTAAGTAAAATATCATCCTATTTTTCCACCTACATGGACGTCTTAGCCATCTCTGGCCAAGTGACTTCTTGCACCTCTTATTATGGATCAGATCTCCATTGCTAATGAAACTTAAAAAGCAAAATAGTTTTCACTAACGCTTTTGTTGAGTAAGAGGTACAACAGACTTTAAACTAAACAATTGGGATAGTCTTTCTCCAAAATTTGAACCCACCCCTCTCGAATTTAAATGGAAATTCCAGATCTTAACCGTTCTTGATGCCTCAATCCGCTCGAGAAGCCAAGCCATGCATAGTAATATAGAATATATTCCTTCTCAAAATCGGTAATACAATTTATAATTTCAATTTTACATGCGTCAAAATTCTTCTTACAAATCAAACCATGTACTAATATATACCAAGAAATGAAAGGCTGCTATAAGTATGTTGTGTGGGTTAAAGCTTACAAATTGATGGTTACACCTCTTGCACCATTGACATAAGGAGACTCTTTGGTTTCCTCTCCAAATAATGCGGTATTCCGACCGTGCTTAGAAGGTTCATATTTTTCTCCATCACCCCACAAAGCATAAGCTTCCTCTCCATGAACTGCATCATCTCCTATTGCAAGCTGTTCCTCAGGCATTCTCAGTGGTATAAACAGCCTTATAAATAGAAGGATTAGTGTTGTAGAGACTATGTTCCAACCTGTAACAAAAAGGGCTGCAACCAATTGCTTCAAGAATTGCACCCTACCATTTCCACCATAAAATGCACCCCTTGTCTTCACTGGCAGTATAAGGTCACATAGCTCTGGCTCTGCTAAAAGTCCTGTCAGAAGTCCACCCAATAGCCCAGCCACTGCATGTGTGTGAAAGACACCTAATGTATCATCCACCTGTTTTTACCACGCAACAGGAAAAAATTTTGTTTATGGACTTCATCGTGTAGCAATTGGTATTTAGTGTCTACCATTATAAGTAAATTATAAATTAGGCCCTCTAGTTTTAAAAAATAATTATTTAATCTTTTACGTTTAATAACCCAGTCATTCCATCAGTTTTTTGTTAGAATAATAGATATATATATTCCTAAATTGCTTTTTCTTTGATGTTTTATTTCCTTTTTTCCATTTTTTTCTCTCCTCAATCAAAAATCAAAAGAGGGCCAATTTGAGAACAAAAATCATCAATCTAACGAAAAACTAATGAAAGAACTAAGTTAATAATGAAATTAAAATGCGAGGGATTAGATAATTAGTTTTGAAAAGAAAGAAATTAATTAATTTATTCAAACAAGAGGGACTAATTTATAATTTACTACTACTATTATCCTTTCTACTTTAAAAAAGAAAAAAAGAAAAAAGAGGACATGAATTGGTTTTTCTGATTTTTTTTTTCAAGTTATAGTTAAAGAGTATTCAACGTTACGTTCTCATCTTTGACTGTAATTAATTAAGGTTATTAATTTAATTGCATGACTTGCTTGCCTGATAAGGCAGATAGTTGAGGATGAATAATAAAATCCATTAATATAGGTGGATGGGAAATCAAGTGAAATCTTGAAGGATGGCCAGTGTGGCTACAGTCATTCATCACTTAATGGAAAAGTTTAGAGATATGATATGATATTATGGCCATCATTTTTCATGGTTGAGCTTCTGGTTTTGATGGTGAAAACATAAGCATACGATAAATGGAATTATATGGGACAAACAAGATAAGGATAGGACAAGTATTTGATGAAGACTCCCAAATCCCTTAACTTCTTCGAAAAATGCTCCAAGTTTTAAGAGAACGTTCTGGCCTAGCTAGGATGAAGAATTGGTCATGAAGTCATCATGAACTCATTTAAAAGTTGAAGGATTCATTTTTTTTGGGAAACTTATTTTCCAATATTAAATAATTGTTAATGGAGAAAACAAAAGCTTTATCATTTTACTATGAAGATGGATTTTTTTAAACCAAAATTCAAAAACCTCCTATTCCGATAATTTCTTGTGCATGCATTTTCCACTAATCTTCATGAAGTTGCCACTGGTTCTGTTTTTGGCTTTATTCCTTTTTGAAATGGCCACTCACCACCCCCTCCCCTTTTATCATTTTTTTCCTAGCTGGACTTTTAAGCCTTGATTTATGCCCGAAAAATCTGAAGAACTTACTGTTGTAAATGATGCAAAACGTGGATGTCTGGATAGTCTACTCTTGTGTGCTATGGAGAACTACCTAACATCTCTTGAATCTTTTTTTTTTTTTTTTAGTCTCATCTTCTTAGGTCAAAACCCCAAAATCTTCATGAGATTGGAGGTGGGAAAAGATGCAAGAATAGATTAACAATTTGTCAAGCCTCAAATTATAAGGACTCATGCATTTCCAGGAGAAGCAACAAAAAATTGGAAAGCGACACAATACCTTTTGAAGCAGGGTAAATTTCTTATGCAGGACCATCATAGACACCCATGGAATGCTACCAGAAAGTATTCCCATCACTATAGCCGCCCAAGATTGAACCAGTCCTGCATGAAGACCATTCATATTTTTAATAACAAATTAAAAAACAAAAATGCTAAAATCATTGTAACAGAGACAGAAAAACACACTAACCTGCTCCTGGAGTGATGCAAACTAGGCCCGTCATCATGCCCTGAACAGCTCCGATCACTGATGGTTTGCCAAAGTATACAACATCCAGAGATGTCCATACAAGCAGACTAGTTGCCGCACAAACATTAGTGTTTAACACCGCCATCGAAGCATCGATATTGGCTGCATAGGGTGCCCCGCCATTGAATCCTGACCAGCCCATCCACAATAGACCAGCACCCGCAAGCATCAGCAACACATTGTTAGGAGGAAATCTTTCCCTGTCGCTTTTTAGCCTTGGTCCAACCTGTGCCACTCTTAACAAGTTAGGATCATAGAAGCAAGAGCGAAACATAGAATCTAATAAGCACCAAAATTTGGTTATAGGGCATAGTTTGTCTTACCCAATAAGCTGCTGTCAACCCTGCGATTCCTGAGGAGAGGTGAATAACGTAGCCACCTGAGTAATCAATGACACCCCAATGATAAAGAAATCCACCTCCCCATAGACTAAAAGCACCAACAGTGTAGGAGAATATGAGCCATAGAGGCACGAAAGCCATCCAGGCTTTGATATTCATGCGGCCGAGAACAGAACCAGCTAGCAAAATAAGCGTAATAGCAGCAAAAGTAAATTGAAAGTACACAAGTGAGGCCATGGGATACCAAGGCTCAACGGTTTCCTTTGTGCCATCTTTGAGTGTGTGCGTGCTCTCAGGGACCCTGGCTCTGTTCATTAGGTACTTTTGGCCTAAAGCTGGTGCACCCTTGCCCCAAAAGGGAAGGAGTTCGTCGCCGAAAGCCATGCGGTAGCCCAAAAGCACCCAGCAAATGAGGACAGCAGCGAAGGCATAGAGGGCCATGAAGGCAGAGTTTACAGCCCATTTCTTCTTAACGATGCTGGCATAGAGTATGACAAGCCCTGGCATGCTCTGGATAGCAACCAGAGTTGATGCTGTCATTTGCCATGCATTGTCTCCTTTGTTTAGCCATGAAGGAACTGCAGGTGAAACCAGTCCATAAGCTGTTGAGGCATCCATTGCTGCAGCAACCTCTTAATTCTCTTTGTGTTTCTTTCTTAATACCTATATATATATATATATATAGTTAGGTCAAGCAATGTGAAGTCATGTTTTCACTAATTATTATTAGAAGCTGCTCTTACTTTTGCGCCAAATCAAATGGCATTAGGCTGGATTTTCACTTGTTTAGGTGATGCAGTCACATGTACGGTAAGTAATTTTGACCTTTCATATATAAATCCAGACTATTATGCTGTGCCCCTTTTAAACAATCATCTCTTTCCTACCTCGTAGGTGCTACGAACTTGCTGTGCTTGGTCGATCAAGTTGTGGGACACATGGAATACTTAGAAACATACAAGTATATTTAGTAGGTGAAAGGTTGACTAACATAAAGTTTGTTTCCCTCAAAAAGAAAATGATGTGTGTCTATTGGATATAATATAGGCAAATTCATCCTGTAGTTATTCAAATTGGGTCTCCTATGTATGTTGACTATCTAACAATTGTTACATCACACCTCTAAATCCAATGGCGTCATCAAGGTGCTTATATAGGACAAGAAACATGCTTAAATGGCTGAGCTGAAAGTTGTGACTTTCTGAACTAAAGTGGTGGTTCATTCCCATTAGTCCAATGAGAAAATGAGACGAATTTTCTTTGGAATTAGATAGGTCAAGTAATAGGACAAGTGATATTTATCCGCACATGTGGGTGGCTGGTTTTGCCTGCAAGTTTCTTTGAAAAAACCATGTTATTGCCCTGCAAGCTGAGATGAATTTCAGGGCGTGAGATCGAAAGCCACACCTAAACTGAATTGCAAGGATACATTCTGATTGTACGGACTATAATTAATATGTCTAATTTGAATGATTGATCCTGACCCATGATCATGTACTGGTCAAAGTCTGGTGGGGTTTGCGTACAAACTACAGCTAGCAATTGTAAATATTCAAGCTGGTGATAAAGATGCTGGGAACCAGGAAGGAAGAATCATAATAAGACACACGTAGCAACAATTAAATTAACTACATTGACTAAGACTGGTCTGAAAAATCAATTCAAGCCATCGTGTCTGTACCTTATTTGCTAGTACTAAATTCAAAAGAAAAACCTATTCCATTTGCTTAATATAGCGGTGATTACATAGATTCTTAACTTGTTACTGCAGGCATAAATGTTGTACTTGTCATGCAATATTATTTGTTTTCAAGGCCTTTTGTAATTGTTGAAAATCTGGGAGATGATTTTTGAAACATGGAGACTGCTGGTAGATAACAGAGGCTGCTTGAATAAGAATGCTTGCTGTTAAACCCCATATGAGAAAAACTCCTTTTTCGGATTCAAAATCGAAGAGATGGAGAATATACTTCCAACCCATCCATTCCTTCTCTTCCCATCGATGGCTTTCCTCCTAAATTGGAAAACAGAAAGTTGGGCACCATAAATCAAATCTGATATGCACATTTTTTTACAAATTAAGATGTAAATTATCCCATGTATTCTGCATTTGTCAAGCCTTGATTGTGCATGCAATTTCTGAAAAAGAAAAGATTGAGGTATGGACAGGATTAAAAAACCTTGAGAAACATTTCCAACGGGACATCAAAAACAGTAGCAACTTCATCAGTATTAAGTATAGCTTTGAAATCATCTATCCTGGCTAGTAGTCCTACCACAGGAACAACCTTCAGCTGGTGCTGCATGGAAAACGTAGGCTTGATTAGGATTATCTGATAGTTTTGAGTCATCTAAACCAAGCGGATAACACCGCTGTATATACCTGGGAAATAAAGGGATCTAATTTTGCAACAACTTGAACAAGATGAGGATCCAAGCCTATCTCCTCCGTGGCTTCTCTTAATGCAGTTGCAGAGTCATCTACATCTCCTTCTTCCATCTTTCCACCCGGAAGTGCTACATCTCCTGCTCCTTGCAAGTAATAATAATTTAAGACTCCTTCACTTCTTGACTAAAAATAAATTCCAGAAAATGTTCTAGTGCTACCAAATGAAAACAACGTGTAATTGCTCAACTTAACATTCTCTTAGTGATGGATTCATCCTCTCTTGTAGGTTATATGGCCGACCTCAAGAATTAATGAACTGAGATTTCAACTGAGGAGAATTAATGCTCTCAAGAACCAATTTTGTTATTATTTTTTGGGAAAAATAGCTTGCTCTGTTTTTATATGATTAAATTAGTGTTTAATCTTATTTTATATTTTAAAATAAGTTAATTATATCTTTGCATTTTAAGTGAGTTTCTAATCTGTCTTTGTGGTGAATTTTTTCAGCTAAACTATCAAAAAGTATTAGGTGACTTGCACACAATTAATTTTTTCTTTCGAAAATATCACTAAAAAAATAACCTGCATAGGTTCATCTAAGGGCACTTTTGGGGAAAAAAATAGTTATATGTAAGTCAGATAACTTTTTTCAGTGGTTTAGTCGGAAAAATTCACCAAAAATAGATTGAAATTTTATTTAAAATACATAGATATAATTCACTCATTTTATAATATAAATACAAATTAGACATTGATCCCATTATATAAAAAACAGATTGAACTATTACCTTTATTTTTTTTTAATGATGCAATTTTTTAAATAAGTTTAGGATTTGAATAATAAATCAATTAAAATTTGACATCACTTACGTATTACAATATAAATAAATTGCTATAGACATATGAAATCATAGTACAAAATATTAAGAAGTCATATTGAAAATTGATACCAGCTGACGATTAAAATTGAACCACACCTGCAACGTCCGTAGGAACGTTTGACTAGTTTTTATCTTAATTTAATTGATTGATAAAATTGACAACCTTCTTTTCTTAGTTTTAAAAACAAAAATTCGTATATGTCTAGTTTTATATAGATTTTTTTCTGGTAAAACATTTCAATTTTCATGAATTATATGCGCATAATTTCTTTTTCTTCTATATAGAATTTAGGAAAACATTTTCGAATAGGCTGTGTTTTTATTTTTAAGGATATTTCTTGTTAGTTCCATGCATGTTACCGTAAGGATACGAGTACTGCTAAACAACTTGTAGTCTATGGGAAAAAATATATATATTTTTTAATTGAATAGTCTATGGAAAAATGATTATAATCATAAAATAACCCTTAATTTCACACGGCATTAAAAAAAAAATTATAAATACAACTTATAATTTGATATAAAATTAAAAAAAATTATCCATTTCAATACCTGGATGAGAAGACAACTTCATAGATCTCTTAGTAAGAATGACACGTAACTCGTTTTCATTGCCTTCAAAAAGGCAAATCAAGACAGCAGCTCTCCTCTTCCTCGAATTTACCAAGAAAAATTCATCATTTTCTACAGCTACGGACTCCATGATCTCAAGCTTCGAACCAATATTATCATCAAGCTGCTCTAGTTCCATATCCACACTAGGAGTTGGTGTGAGAACCTGGAGCTGCTGAGCAAGTTTTTGGAGCTTTTGACTGCCACGAAACCGATCCTTTTTTAGGCAACCAATTTCAAGTCCTTCCATGCACGTAGAGGGCACAGAAATGCAAGCCATGTTGATTATAATTTGATTTTTGGGAAGTCTATCTTGTTCTGTCACACATATATAGAAGAGATAAAAACAAAATCTCGAGGAGAATAAACCTCTGTTTTTCTTTTTTCTTTTAGTTTTATTGTCTTTTACATATTGAAACTAAGTAAACTTTTTCATAACATGTCAAAAGATTTACAAAAATTTTGCTTCTCGTGACCTGACGTGATATTTGAAGTTCGATAGAGAACATATTCACTTAACCATAAGCCTATCATACCTATCCTTAGCCACTACATATAAGAATTGTTCTGGAGCATATATACCTAAGTCTGATATAATACACACAACTTGGGTTATACTCGAAATTTTCATGCAATTGATTGCCTCTCATCATCATATAAGTTATTGGGTTTTGTTCATTTGATTCTCATCAATTATCCCTCATGGGTTGTAAAAAAAAACTTGATATTTGGTTACAAGTAGGAAAAAAAACTTCACTTCTTAAATTATCTTTTGAAGTTGAGAAGACCCAATACTCAATAGCCACCAAAATTGATAACAGAGTTCAGATTAAATAAATCTGTATGTGTTGATACTACACAAGTTGATGAAAAATAATCAATTCAAAGCTTCATGTATGAGTTAAAAAAAAGAAAAAGATTATTATATTGTCTCACATTGATTGTTAAATAGCTAGATTTTTTGTTATAAGGATGAAAAAAAGCATGAAAGTTTACCTGAATTGATGACAAAATATGACTGATTACGTTGTTTTTTTTTTATATATAATTATTGATAACCAAATATTTAGAGTGAAAAAAAAAACATTTAATTATATAAAGAAGCAGATTAACCTACAGTGTTCAGGGCTGGACCCTTGCTTCCATTCTGTATAGGTGAAAAATCAGTGATAGGAAAGTATTTAATTCCTCGATAATTGGCTGTGGACAATGAATGGAAATTAAATATGGAACTGATAAATAAATCTATCACTTGACTGCATAATCTATATTAATGCTCGAGTATATATGCATATTCTTTGGAATGGAATGAGAATAGAATTCTTAAGACCATGAAAGTGACAGAACGTACCTCGAACGTTGTAATGGATTCCACTGCTTCTACCATGATGATTTCTCAACGTGGACAAGTTTTCTTATTAATTTACTTATTTTGTTAACTCACATTTATATAAAAAAGTTTTGAGTATTATTTGATTTAATTAGGAAATTAAGTTATTTATGTTTCGCTTGGTAAGATTTCAAATTGTTTTTTTAACTTTTGATTCATAAATCTTAAATTTTGAGTTGTGAAAAACTAAGAAATAATAAATACAAAAAATTAACGAAGTTCGCCCATGGTGGCCTACTTTATGGACATAAAAATTACAAAAAATTACAAATTGTATCTCTATTATATACTCATATTTATAATGGATGACATGTATGGTTTTTGTGTTTGATTACAAAATAAATGATTTAATCTGTTGAATTGCTACCTCTAACAAACCCAAGATTTAATTCCATGATATTTTGGTTGATTCTTGTAATATGACAAGTAATATACTTTCCAATTTTCTTAAGATGAACACGAGTTGTAACACAGTCATCATCTTGTCATTGATAATATATTGGCCGGAAAATATGCAAGGCCAAATTGAGAGTATGAAAAGAGGAGAATTTGACCAAAGATGACCAATTAATAAGATTTTCATACAAAACCTTTCATATGTTATAGAGAATTTTGAACCAATAAGATTTTTAAATAAAACTATCGAAATTAATTACATGATTTACATATGAAACCTTCCATTTGTCTAATTAACTTGTAAGCTATTTTAGAAATAAAATAAAAAAAATCATATGCAAATCACGTGATTAATTACGGTGGTTTGGTCTAAAAATACTTCAAGAAGAATTTATTGGAAACATAATATATGTTTAATGATAAAATTTGTAATAACCCAAAATTTACTTTTGTTTTTATTTTTTATTTTTTTAATTATTAGTTTTATTTATTTATTTTTCTTATTTAATTTGAAGTTTATCGAAAAAGAAAAAAGAAACGCGACCAAAAAAAAAACACAAAGAAAAAATACCGAAAACCTAAAAAGAAAAAGCCAAACACGCCCTAACCCAATAACCGGACCCGATTACCCGTTTACCCACTCGAAACTTTTGAGCCTCAATTGATCATTTTTCGATTAGATTTTGACCACGATCAACACACCCACGTGTAGCCCATCACTAGATCGGTCCATCAACACCGATTGAGAGAGAAACAATCACGGAGGAGAGAGAAATCGAAGATCAAACCACCACGACCCGACCCGAATAAATACCCGCTCGTTTCTCTCAAATCCGATCACCAACACGAGATCGACCACCACGAACCCGATCGCCGGTCTCATCCGAGTATTTTCATATAAGATCCATGACCCAACGACACCGAAAAACGATTTAATTGAACTTGATCCGTTTTCGAGCCGTTTTGGTAAACTCGGAAAAATTGGCCGAGCTAGGAAGAATTGGAGGTCCTAACCACCATAGAACTTCTTCTCTCGATCGTGGGAGTCGACCGGTGTGCTTGAAACCCGGAGACATGGTCGTATTCTTCATCGGTGAAGAAGGGAGATCCAGTCGAACCTTTGGAGGCTTCGATCTCCCTTCTTCGGTGTCGTCTCCGGTTGAAACCACCATGATCGGAGTCGCCATGACCGGATCTACAAGGTCGGGTGGTCCACGCGCTCGAACGGTCACTTGGCGGTGACTCTCGACATTCCAGGAGCATTTTGGTAATTTTATAACATAGGTGAATTTTGGACTCGTTTGATTTATTTTGTGTGTTTTATAGTTTTTTTTATTATTATTTTACATATGTATGTTAGAAAATTTGAAGATACATAATTGTGAAATTTATTTTAACATGAGATTTTTTTATGATTAAAATATTGTATCAACGAGTCTTCTATTTATTAGGGACGAACGATGATTTCGATATATTTAATTTTTTTAAATTTTTTCAGTTGATTTTAGTTAATTAAAAATTTAAATTTTTCTTTAAAAAATAAAAAAATATTTTTTTTCGACGAAGTCTCCTATCTAATAGGGACCGACGTCACCAAAAATCTAAAATTCTTGACGAAGTCTCCTATCCGATTAGGACCGACGTCACAAAGAAAAATTATTGTTTTAATTAAGATGTCCTCCGACATGCCGGTTGTGTCAAGCTTTTAGTGGATCCGATGTTTGAATCGACGTATCACCCAACGAAGGTACCGACGATCGTTTCAATATGATGTCACGCCTAAAACTAAAAAATTCATGTAGTCTAAAAGAAAATAAGAGATTAAAATTTAGAAAAATAGCTTGACTTGGATTTTAGGACATAATTTAGAACTAAATCGTACATGGTACCTTTTTTCGAAAAGGGCGCTTTTAGGTGATTAAAAATCTTCCTAAAAGCGTAACCAACTCCTTACCTTAGGAATCTCCGAACCAGTGCTACTTTTAGGTTCCTAGTTCCTTAAATACTAGGTGGCGACTCCAAAACGTTGTAAATAATTGATGCTCGGACTTTAATTTACGTAGGGAGTCCCGTTCGACGTCGGGTAACGACGGAATGACGACTCCATCGGGGACTAGAGTTAGGCCATAGGTTTAGTTTTTAATTTATCTCCTATGTTTATTTTTGTCATTTTATTTTATGAATTTATTTATTTATTTGTGTATATATTTAAATTTTTTATCCGCACGTTTATTTTTGAATTGGGTTGTACGCCTTTTCTTTTAAATGTTGCACACACCATGAAGGAAACCTCTAAAAGCTTTGAATCCGAGCTGAACTCTAATAGGAATTAGATAGAGTAATTTGGAGGCGAGTATGACGAAAGTCTACCGATGCTCTTCCGGACTCTCATTTGGATCGAAGCTCACCCTATACATCGAAATGGTGGAATAACCTTCCCCTACCTCTAGTGTATAAGGTTAAAGGTTGGATTACCCCACTCGGTAATTTAGACAGGTCTAGAAACTTGAAATATCTTTAGGACTAGTCAAGCTTTGCCCAACCATAGAAAAGCTAGATCTTGTCCATTAGGGTTGACCCGATTAAGACACGAATCATTGTCAAATGATGTTGATACGGACCTTTGGTATTCCAAGGGTATTTTTGTAATTTTTAGTAAAGGTTGTCCTTCGTATTAAATCATGACCGAAGAAGTCGAAATAAGGTCGAGGATTTTAGATCAAATTTGAACGGGTCCAAAATAATGAAGGAGATTGTACGCACTTAAATTTCGTATCGAGACTACGAAAATGTTTTGCCCTTCGTGTGCTTATAGTAAGAGTAGTTTCCTCATTTCAAAATCAAGTCACGACTGAAATTGGGGGCATACATATCTCCCTAATCGCTGAAAGCATATGTGGGGTAATTTTGCCCTCGGCGAGTACTAGCTCGGTCTAACCCATCATCGATAGGATTCCGTCATGATTTAATGTGCAACAAAATAAAGAAAGGTATCCAACCCAATTCAAAATCATGCATTTGCATTAAGTATTTATTTGTATATATTTCTTTTACATTCTCGGTGAAGTAAACATAGGTCGCTCCACTCGATCCCCTTCGTCCGTCTACAACACTCGACTTCGGACTCGTCAAATGAAAAATGAAGAAAGACCACAATAGGAGGCAATTAGTCAACAAGAGTTTGAATCATCGAAAGAGAGTATGGCTCGGATGACATCCCTATTAGAATAAGGCTTAAGAGGGGAAGGTGGCTTGAATCAAGGATGGGAACAACTCGAAGTATCTCATGTTGTTCCACTGCCTAGTCGATCATGGAATTCCAATCAAGCAACTTTTTAGGCTGATGGCTCACATCCTGCTAGGGCATTTGCTTATCCCATGGACCCACGAGTCTTACAAATACCACATATGCCCCTTGTAGATCCTACGGAAGAAGAAACTCACGATTATAGAGCAGTGAAGGTCCGAGTATGGATAAAATCATAGCATTAGAA